GCACGTCAATAAAAAATTCACATCACTGAAGTGGAACAACGACAGCTCACTCACGGTCTTATTAAATCTCACCTTTTTATTCTTTCAATAAATTGGGGAGTCGGCACGCTTTCGTGATTGCGTAAGACGCCTTCGCATCTCACGCCTTCCACCCCTCTTCATTATTTCGTGAGATCGTAGCGTGGTGAGCAGCGTTTGAAGCCCTTTGCTTCGAGTTCAGAGAATTGTAAACGAGATGGGTCATCGCTCAAATTCGACTTGGAAGGTACTCGAGTGTACCAGTGCATTGCTTGTAACTCAACGTCCAACCTCGCGTTGATAACCAAAAGTTCGTAGTTTTCAAGCACAGGTGAATATGAGCGAATGACTGCAGCAAGAGAAGAGTTATTGTCAATGAACCAGAGGACAGCACGTCCTGATATCAAATGACTCCAAGTGTTCTTTGCAACAAGGACTGGAAATAGTTCAGCCTGACAGATCAGCTGCTTCTTTCCTTCTGTGCGCCACTTGTCTGTCCAGCAAGTTGGTACATAGTCACCAAACATCAAGGCGTGATGTGATTCAGGGTCGTAAAAGGCAGCCCCATGAGTCACACACAGGCCATCTTCCTCACAAGCTCCGTCTGTGAAGATGATAAGCGGGGGTCTTCCTGACCAGGCAGAAACATGACGTGGTTTTGCATCCATCAAACAAAGCAGTGCCGCATTGATAACTTCCTTGAGTTTTTCATCGAGTACCACCAGTGGCCCTCTCCTGGCAACTCGAGAAATAAGTTGTATTGCAAGCTGAGAACACCTCCCAAATGTGTGACCCGCTGCATATAACAGCCTGCCCTTCAAGGTTTCGAGCAGCGAGAGCGCAACTGTCTCGCTTTGACAAATGCTTTGAACCAAGCTCTGCAAATCAGCAATTCGAGACGGTTTGTTGTGAACCGCCACAAGCCCAGCTGTAGACCGCGTCAGGTCAACCACCGCTCCAAGAAGGTTAAATTCTCCAGCGAAAGCCGAGCGCTTATCTTCAGACATGGAAATGCGCCAGCCCAAAAGCTTCATCACAAACTCTGCTGTCTCCCATGCTGACTCGCATAGACCTTCGCACTCAAGCTGACAAAAATCGTCGAAAAAATTTGTGTTGATCACCATGAAGAGCTCTGAAAGAATCAGCCTTAATGCCTTTGCCATCCTATTAAACGCCATCACAGCGCATACAGACCCGAACGGCAGGGCGACTGACTCGTAAAATTCGACTGTGCCAGCATCATCATTCCAAACCGCAAGGATGGCTGCCCAGCTGTCAGCTGGATGCCGGGCAAGTTGCTTGTAAGCGCTCTTCAGATCTAGCGCCCTTCCAAATATCTTTCGCCAGGGCCCTGTGAAGAATCTGACCCGTTCGGAGCACCACAAGTTGTCAAGCTCATCATCCATCATCAAAAAGTCGCAACCAAGGAAGGTACGCGCTGTGTTGACAACCTCGTCGAGTCCAAACAACTGCAATTTCTCAGTCGCCGTTACAGAGGCGTTCACCAAAAATTCAGAAAAATCATCGACCGCCCGTATCTTTCCACCTTGTCTCACCCCGAACCTTTTCGACGGGATCCAGCAACCATCAAACTTTTGGTCCAATTCTGAGGAGGTGTAAGGCCCTTTCACCCAGCCATCCGCCCTCTGCTGAAGGGTTTCCTCATATACAGCCCGGGCTATTTCAGGGTCTGCACCAACTCGTCTGCATGACGCATGGATCATCTTCTTTGCCCACACTGAAGAGTCTTTGAGCTGCTGCACAGAAATCATGGCAGGTTTGAGGCGCGCAGGGAACTGCTTTGACTCCGGCATCTGACCTGTCAACTTGAAGCCTTCGATTAACTCTGTAAAGAGATGCTCATCACCAACCTTGGCATCAGCGGCCATCTCCTTGAATAGAAGCAGTCGTTTGCCCTCCAGCACGCGTCTGACATCCGGATCCAGCGAGTTCTTGAGTTTGTTCTCCTCACTGGAGAGCTGGGCTGCTCTCTCTGTATATTTTCTTAGCTGCTGGGCCCTGAATTTCAACACCTCCGCCTTAGTGTGGTCCCTAATGAACACCATGGCCTTTAGGTTGCTCTTGTCCACTGTATGAGGGCTGTCCAAAGGGTGCTCTAACGTTAGGGCCTTGTCCAAAAACTCCCAGGGTGAACGAAAAACACCATAAGACGACAGGGAAAAAACCTTCTTCTCGCCATTCTCCCCCACTTCAGTTACCATTCGAGAAGAAATCAACTTAGAGTGCAAGGGGAGGCCCTGAAATGGAGCGTGCACATTGTCCTCGATGGACGCGGGAATGGTGACATCAGTTGATTTGATGTCGATTTTGAATTTGAAATCACCCACCAGCAAGGGAGCTCTGGCTCCTCGGGGTTGTAAACCTGAGCCCATGCGCTGTTCTTGTTCAATTTGACCGGAAGAGAGGGACAAATTCTTTCCATCTCTTTGCAGTTGCTCTATAAACGCAAGGGCCAATTGGCGGCATAAACCGCTAGGATATTCCGTCTCCAGACTTGTTGAAAATTTCATTTCAGATCCAGCAGGCTGCGCCACCATTCCCCAAGGCAAATGTGGGTGGCTTTCATCACATTCCAAAAGCAAGTTTGCAGCATGAAAGTTCATCAAAAAGGACGTACGCTTCTTTCTTTTTCCACCATACATGCAAGAGTGGACATGCTGAAAACGAAAAGTGCCAGGCAGTTGGAGGAAAGGGTCAGTCATCCACATGAGCGACCGGCGGGGGTTTTCACAAATAAACGGAATACCTTTTCTCTCACAGAGATCCATGACCTTTCTTGCAAACGCATACAACTTGTTGGCAGCAAGAACTTTGATTTTTGCAACTCCGCGCAAACCAGACAAACCCATTGGCTCAGCTTCAGATCTGAGCGGAACTGGTTGCATCCCTTTCCTAAGCTTGTGCCGTTTGGGCACTGGGATTTCACGTGCTCTTGACGCCGTTCCACACGGCGGTGCCAGCATCACGGCGTCCACCTTGTCCTCCTCTATCCACTGCAAGACTGTAGCTTGGCCGTCCTGTTTTGACAAATCTACTTTCGCTACAGGTCCTTTGACCCTTCTCTTGTCTATTATGTGGTCAATTCCCAGGGCCTCTCCACCCATTGCTCTAAACGCTGCAGCCACGCCAGCTGTACCACAAAATAAATCCAAAAGGAAAAGTTGCTTTGAATGCGTTGTTGCATTCGACCCTGCCCGACCATCAACTTCTTGATTGGCAGCAGGTCCAGTATGACTCGACTGTTCTTCAGCGATGTCACAAAAAGACCGAGGCTCTTTTGCCTCAGTTGTGTCCGTTGCAGAGCGCATTCGCTTTGCAACCAACGTCTGCTCAAGGCATCCACTGCCTTCAAAAAGGGCGGCTGACACACGCTTTCGTGAGTCTGCCACCAGGCGATCCTCATCGCCCTTTTTGCCATCTGCTTTCAAGGCAACTCTTGCAGCTAGTCACGAGCCAGGTTTATGGGCTGTGACAAAGGCATGTCGCTTGTTGCAACCCTTCTTGCAACATGTATGAAGTCCCTTCGGACAATCTCCTGAGTGAGAGCAAGTGCCCAGGTTGAACCCAAAACAAATTGGCTGGCCGTCCTCGTTGCAAGGCACACAGCCGACCAGCTTCTTCGGCATAGGCGTCCTTTTCAACTTTTTGATCCGGAGTGCCTCTTGTTTGTTCTTGTTTGGCTCCACCTTGGTCCTTTTGGGTTCTGCATCCTGTGAGGTCTTTCCAGGGGCATCGCCATGATGTGTTTTTGCCACAGGCCGCTTTGGCAGCGGCATCAGGAGCCACTTCAATTCAGGGCCCTCCAAGATGGCTTTGGCTGGCAAGTCAAGGGGCAACTCTCCAGCCGGGCCGTTGCGGAAACCCGCACGTGTGGCCTCAGCCAACCTGACATGAAGCTCCCTGTCAGCCGCTGCAACCTGCTGCAAGGTCACCTGAGCAAAACCTTCCATGGGCTCTTTCTTCAGCTCAAAGAAGAAATAGTTGATAATTGATTCGTGCACCTCAAACGTCATCGCCTGAGCGATCTCATATGCCACTCCACGTCGTCTCAGCGCGTGGTGCACATCGAGCTCTGTGTTCAAGACTGCGGCCAAAGCAGGGTCTTTGTTCGTGGCCCTGATAGCACCTGAGCTGTCAGCTTTCCATATCTTCAAGTCATTGTCTTCCTTCACATTGTTTACCTCTTGTGTGCGCGATGTGCAACGCGCCCATTCAATGTACCTCACTCTGCCATCCTCCACGCACTGCACCAACG